ATTATTATGGTAGTTCCCATCTAGACGCCATTTTGCTGCGGGGCTGCGAGTGCCCAGGGTGCTGAACCTTATTCGACGATACCTACTTTGGGTGAAAAGCGTGCATCGCGTATTGCTTCCAAATATTTACTGGCACACACATGCCAACGTACTGATACGTTGGTCTTTCCGTGTCCTCATTAAAACGACCCTTTTCAAGTTCTCCCGTATGTTCCGTGCTGCAAATTACACGCGTGGGAAAACACCTTAAAGGCGAACCTTATGAACGCGACGTTGAAAGATACTGGAAGGTAGAAGAGAAAAAGGCAGATTACTGTTGACCTGCGTATGGCTGGGGTCCGCCATGTGCAAATATGGCACATGTGAAAATATTAGGGCTGATGCGTTTTCAGATATTCCTGCATTCATATTGATTACAAGGTTCAAATAGAAGAAAATTTCTGGATTAGGGAATAAAGAGGAGTTAGTACACTTCTCTGCAAGATGGCGTGAGAGTACTATAGTCCGTTCGTGATAAAATAAGCCATTTACAGTACACTTGAAGTACCAAAGTAGAATTAATGTGTCTTAATGACCGAATGAAAATTCTAGCAATTATTATTAATCAGATAGTTATTATCGATAACAACGATGAAGTGGCAAATAACAAAGCACTAAATGGCCGATTCCAATTTGCGACACGTTATCATCCGAATTCAAATAACTCCATTAAAATTAAGTTTCCGTAACGGGAAGGATAGTCAAGTCTCGCGAGATTAGGTAGTTGGAATTTGTCCAGCTACATTCTATGTTCGTTGGAACGTTCGCTCGCGAAATGTTAATCTGCGTTTGCAAAAACTACTTATCTCGCGGAGATTAAATTTTGTACTTAACGAATATAGACATTTGTAGAAGAGTGCTTCGTTAGATTTATGGGCAGAAGGTTGGGAATGGGATTAGTACGCTTCTCCGAAAGGTCATTCATGGTCCCATATACAGGTTCATATGTTCAAATTCGACATTTGATTCCAAGTGCCATCTTTAGAGCAGTTCTGTCAAAATTACTTTCAGAACCCCATACTTTTCTATAAATGCATATATCGATTATAATAAATGTTCAGTGTCATTAATTTTTGTGTCTACTATCATTAATTTCCTTCCGTTATATTGCATAAGAACCGAAAATTATTCAGAGTAGGTTCGTTACAGCAGATTCTTAAATACGCAGGAAAATGAGGTCCCAGGTGCGAATACGTTTTTCGATCGAGATAACTCTGTAATTAAATCTCAAGGTACCTAAGCTGCAATTACCGAACTGACACGTGCGGCCATATATTCAGACACTTATTTTTAATAGTCGAGCTTTATGTTTTACGACTGAACTATTTGTACCTGTTTCGAATATCGAAGGAAATCGAAGGAAATTTTAATTCTACTGCACAACGGGTGTATAGTAGTGCAGTCTCGTTATATGGCCCATAGAGTCATTTCAAATAAATACATATTTTAACCAATTTCAAAATGTTTAACATATAATCTAATGGATTTGAAAGCAACAATTTTAGTAATGAACTAACACTGCATTTCATCTTCATTTGCTTTCACTCTAATATGCATAATACTTTCCAGTATTATCTCGGACTTATAGATTTTCTTTTAACGTCCCTCCTTTTCTTTATCCCATTGTCAGTATATTTTCTTCATTAACGTAATTATTGTCATGAACGAACAAATGTTCCTCGAGTTGTTTTCTATCATCTCATAAAGCTGTTCTTTTTGTTTCTGTGCACGGTCGTTCTAATTGCAACGCTTTTGCTCTCTCTGTTTCTCATTTTTCCTTTCTGTGCCTTCATTTTATAATTCACCTACTTTCCCATACTTGTTTCTTTGTCTCTTTGCAAGCTTCTCACGTGCTCTTTCGTGTTTTTTTCCATTATTTTTGTTTTTTGTTCTAGTAACTCCTTTCTGATAGTCACCCTTTGCTCTTTTATTTCGCTGCCGTATTTCCGTGCATGCATTTCCGATTCTCGAATATTCATATGGACACACGTCTGCTTCAAGAATTAATAACAGCCCTGACATTTACGTGTTTCTACGCAATGCTTCCATCTCGATCGATTAATAAATTTGTAACTGTGAAATGTTTGCAATTTCAACGTGTTGCAATTAATCATATTTTATAAAGTTAATTTCTTTCGAAAAATTTATTTATTAGTCAACAAAACATCACGCTATATATTCGTCTTCAAGGTTTCAAATTACACAAAAAAATTGCAATTAAAATTAAAATTCGTGGAGTCTCGTTATATGGCCCATAGGACAATTTTGAATAAGTACATGTTTTAACCAATGCAAAAATGTTTAAAATATAATTGATCTGAAAAACTGACAAGTGTATTAATAAAATCAAGTCTGTGAGTCTCGTTATATGGCCCATAGGACTATTTTGAATAAGTACATGTTTTAACCAACGCAAAAATGTTTAAAATATAATTGATCTGAAAAACTGACAAGTGTATTAATAAAATCAAGTCTGTGAGTCTCGTTATATGGCCCATAGGACTATTTTGAATAAGTACATGTTTTAACCAACGCAAAAATGTTTAAAATATAATTGATCTGAAAAACTGACAAGTGTATTAATAAAATCAAGTCTGTGAGTCTCGTTATATGGCCCATAGGACTATTTTGAATAAGTACACGCTTTAACCAATGCAAAAATGTTTAACATATAATTGATCTGACTTAGCATGTGAAATAAATAAAATCAAGTCTGTAGAGTCTCGTTATATGGCCCATAGAACTATTTTAAATGAGTACATGCTTTAACCAATGCAAAAATTTTTAACATATAATCCAATTGATCTTAATTGACATCTAAATGAATAAAATTGACGTTGCAACCAGATGCCATCTTTCCAGACACACACTGTTTTCGACAACCGCAAATAAATGTAGTTCGTAAATTTATTTTTTAACGAATATTCAAAATGCTTGGAATTCCAGTTCGGGCGGTGGAATTACTGACTTCCATTATTCCGTATTCAATTAATTCGCTGATGTTTACCAATGTAAATCGTTGCAAAATGTTCTGGTTAAAAATTCATCCGGACGCCAGTATCGCGATCATTTATCTGAAATACGCGATCGGAAAAACGGGCACAAATGGGAATTTATTATTTATTATCAACAAATGTTAATGGCTGAACGTTTTCCATTCAGGAATTATACCTTTGATCGATTATGCATCACAGACGTCAAAGAGACAATTATTTTTTGTACAAAGTGCCGTTCAACAAATATTCTGGCCATAAAGGGTGATTAAGTGTGCTGATAATTTTCGCTAAAGGAAAAATAACGATAAGAGAAATTGATGCGGTGTGATGTCAATTTAAAGCCAGCAATTTGCTAAATTTGCAAACTTCTAAATTTACATAAATTTTAATCTAGAATTCAGAGTTTTAATATCCGAACAAAAATCTAAAATTTGTTAAATATCAGAATATTTGGTAAGACAGGAAATTCGAGACAGAAAAAATCAGCAAATGCACCACGCGAAAATACTGATCTTCCGTAATACGCGTATCGCGACGCAATTTAAAAGCGAGTCAGAAAGCATGCTTTAGCATAATAACGCGTGTTATTCCAATGTTACGGGAACTTTTACGGCATTTTACACTTCGCCCCATAAAGTTCTCCGTTTACAGTGGTGCAAAGTCCGCCGCATAATGTAAACCAAAATTAACGGCCATACTCCACACAACGGATTCGCTCGCGTAAGTGAAAACAAATTCACACTGGCAAATTTAATAAACGCGGCTAAAACGCCGACGCGATAAATAAAAAACAGAAGCCTTTTAACGTCGAAAATACAAGACAATAACCGTGTCACGTTATTAATCGTGACGCACTGCATAACGGGTGTCCGATTTGTGTAACGATTGATATTTTGAAAAATGTGCATGGCAGACAAAAATATTTTCGACGAAAATTATAGTTAGGAGATATAATGTGTCTTTTAGAAATTTTTTAGGGCCTTTAGTGGGAATTTAGGGGTTGGGAAATTAGGAAGTTGGGAATTTAGAAGGTGGGAATTGAGGAGGTGGGTAGTTAGAAGGTGGGAAATTAGGGAGTTGGGAATTTAGAAGGTGGGAATTGAGGAGGTGGGTATTTTGGCAGGTGGGAAATTAGGGAGTTGGGAATTTAGAAGGTGGGAATTGAGGAGGTGGGTATTTAGAAGGTGGGAAATTAGGGAGTTGGGAATTTAGAATGTGGGAAATTAGGGACCTTGGGACCTTGAAAATTTGGGGAATTCGAAATTGGAACCTTGAGAATTTTGGGGATTCGAAATTGGAACCTTGAGAATTTGGGGAATATGGAATTGGAACCTTGAGAATTTGGGAAGTATGGAATTGGAACCTTCAGAATTTGGGGAATATGGAATTGTAACCTTGAGAATTTGGGAAATTTGAAATTGGAACCCTAAGAATTTGGGGAATATGGAATTGGAACCTTGAGAATTTGTGGAATTCGAGATTGGAACCTTGAGAATTCAAGGAATTTGAAATTGGAACCCTAAGAATTTGGGGAATTCCAAGTTGCAAAATTGTGAGTGAAAAATTTCAAAAGCCATTGCCTTCGGCGGTTGTCATTATTATTCTTTGGCTGTGAGTAACGCTGGAAGTCGGATAGACGCCTCGTGTGCTATCTGTAGTTTTCGATACGAAATTTGGGATAAATTATATATAGCGGAGAAGTGAAATTGAATCACCCTGTAGATATACCATCGCGTTATTCGAACAGAGAACGCGCGGCTATCAAAGGCATTTTTAATAAATAACAGAGTATAGATCTACGATGACCTGTTTTTTTTTTTTCACCTCTACACGGTACATCTTTCGTCGGTGTACGTGTTTCCATTAAAGATTTATTAGTAACGGGTCACGTGGCGAGATCAAAGATGGAAAATTATATAGCAATTTATGTATCTGCATTACAAAGAATAATCTCTATGTACTAACCTCGACGAGGGTGATGAGGATGATAAAGAGAGGCGGTGGGCAACACGTGTAATGATCAGCGTAGTATTTCCGGTCCCTTTCCTCCGTAAGGAATTCATCGCCGATCATGCGGACCATCCTGCAAACAAGAAAATAACCTGTATTGACTTTCCTGCATCTTTTTATATCCGAATAGATATTTATGCTCTTCCGCTTTAAACTTTTATTCAAACGACTGTTATTTGCTTTCTATACTTCCTACCATTTTTCAATATTTCAGTTTTTCAAGAGATATATACTGAAATGTTTGAGTTTTTGAGTACTTAAGTATCCGAGTGTTTGAGTATTTGAATACTTGAATGATTGAATACTTGAGTGATTGAATGTTTGAATGATTGAATACTTGAGTGATTGAATATTTAAGTGATTGGATATTTGAGTGATTGAATACTTAAGTGATTGAATATTTGAGTGATTGAATACTTGAGTGATTGAATACTTGAGTGATTGAATACTTGAATGATTAAATACTAGAGTGACTAGAGTGACTAGAGTGACTGACTGAGTGGTTGAATACTTGAGTGACTGAATATTTGAATAATGAAACCAGCAAATGATGAATATATAAATTCGCAAATCCTTTCCCTATATCACCGATATCCGTACAGTGGTCAATCACGTGACAGTAGCTACGCACCAGAAACAGTACGTATACACAGTTATAATACTGAAAGCGATATTTCATCGACATTCGAATCTGTTGCATGAAATACCGATACACATATATCTTTCTTTTTGGATACCATACCGGCGCCAGAAAATTTTCCGATTTGTTAAACTGATACGACGTATCGATACATTTAATTTTAGAGCTGAAATATTTTTTACCCGCTCGGACAGCCTGCACACCGAGCGAACGTGCTAGAGCAAACGTGTGTTCTTTGCGAATGTGTTTACTCGATGTGCACCAGCTCGACACTCACTTTTCATATAAATACGAAGCACGAGCAAATACGCGATCTTCACGAATGATCGCTCGATAAATACGAAAAAACAAGCCCGTGATGATAGGTGCTGTAAAGATACGTATAAGTAACGACTTTAAGTGTAAATATGGTTGCTCTTTAATGTTGTCGAAAGATTTAGTAATTTTTTAATGTGGAAGGACCAAAGTTTCTGTAAAGGGCCATATAGCGAGAGTGGTCTGTAAAGTAATAATTATCTGACGCTACTTATGCAGAACTAATTTCTATTAATATATTAATTTATTTTTTACCGATATTAACGGTGATAAACTTTCCTCTCTTTATATTGCCATTTTCCTATAACTCCACAATTATTCAAAATTTCTGTACATCACATAAATAACAAAATATCCAAATTTATATTTATTTATATACGTAACCTAACATAACCTAACAGTTAATGTAAACTTTCCTCTCATTATATTGCCATTTTCTTATAACTCCATAATTATTCAAAATTACTGTACATCACATAAATAACAAAATATCCAAATTTGTACTGGCACCTAGCCTAACAACTGCTGTAAACTTTCCTCTCCTTATATCGCCATTTTCCTATAACTCCATAATTATTCAAAATACTTGTACATCAGATAAACATAAAAATATCCAAATTCGCAATTGTACGTCAGTATCATTAACAAAACTATAAAAGCATAGAAGTGTTCGAAAGAGATCATCATATGCATTATAGCAAATCGTTCAGCTATCGCGGTAGAATTATTAAAATGATCAGTTGCTGGAGGATATTCACGAACTAATCGTCGTTGGCCTGCAGCGATTTTCGCGTTAAGGAATATAACTGCGAACCCTCGTTAATCGTTGCCCGAGGGCGGCGAAATAACGAGAAATTAACTTTACCGATTCGACTTCGCCACGAAAAAGAAGAAGAAATACTTTCTCGCGATTATGATTGACTCTTGCCATCTACAGAGTTTCCCTCATTATTTCCGTCTGTCTATATCTCACTGTACCCTTTCAACTGTTAATCACTGGCAATTTACTGCCTTCTATCCGCACCATATATCGCCGGTTAATGAACTCTCACAAACAATTTTTTTTTTAATAATACTATTATAAGGGACACTATTTTATTATAAAATATATTATTATTGTTACTAAATTTATTTATTATTATATATTGTTAAATATTTATTATAACATATTGTTATAGTTTTGTTATTATTAGTGTAGTTACATGTTTATTATTATTGTTGCACGTATAAATTTATCATTATTTATTATTATTTTTATAATTATATCTTAATGTTATTTAATGAGTATAGTGTTAGTAGTATTTTAGTTTAGTTATAAAATGTCTCTAAATATAATTTTCATAAACATGTAATTATTAAAAAAAGTGGGTAAACTCGTTCGTTAGGTGCACGCTCGATAATTCCCGTGGCCCATTAATATCACTTGACCCCCTCCCGTTTTTGTCGCAGCTTCGCAGAAACCTATTCCGTCGTTCCCTTGATCTCTATATTATTCTGTAATTAGTCTTGATTCTCATTTCTTTAATATCTTTGTGTTCCCCGCCTTTTTCTCCATACCAGCTGTTTTGTTCGTTCTGCTCCACTTTTTCCAAGCCGTTGTTTCCTTCGTCTTTCTCGTTAATTCCTCCTTTCCTTTTTTCCCCCTCCTCCCTTTTTCTTTTTTAATATCATCCTTCGTACCGGCTCTATTCCCCTCCCTCCTCTAATTGCTCTTTTCTCATACACCCTTGTTCAGCCGCGCTCCTACCCTCGAGTCAATGGAAACAAGGAGATAGTTTATATCCGATACCACAAACGTGCTAGATGTTATGGATAGTGCACTGAGTTACGGGCCAATATTTCTTCATAATTATTCCACGGTGCATGAGATACTGCAGAGACCGGAGCATCTGTGCGTGCCTTAGTTGCATACGCTGCCTCGTTTCGTGCTCCTCTTTTTTTCTTCGTTGAAGAACTTGTCTCCTTTAATTTTTCTTCTGCCGACTTTGAAATGCCGAAAACTTGTGGAAAACGATTACAAACGGATACGACTTTAGAAAGGAAAAATTCTCTCGGGGATAGAAACTACGACTTTAAGGAGCAAGAAATAACTGGGGAAGAAGAAATTGAAGAATTATTGTTTTGCATTATTTTTCTATAGTTTTAGTTTTTATTGAAATTCGAGGATTACGGTTTTGAATCTGGCGCCAAATTTCAAGCATTTAACGCAGTCAGTAAGGACATTTAGAAGCATTTTTTATGTTTTAAGCTCATGTCGTGTGAAGTCACTTTCAAATTTGCCGCCAAAGTAGAAACAATTTTATTGACGTTCAAATTTGCCGCCAAAGTAGACGCAATTTTATTGGCGTTCAAATGTGCCGCCAAATTCAAAAGGTTAATGTCAGTAAATTTAACTAGCTTGTAATGTTTGATGATAATTCACGAATGACCTAAAATAGTGCATGCACTTAACCGGTAAATATCGGGCAGATAATTATAAGACTGGTAATTACCTAAAAGGTAATTACAGGGGTGGTAAATTATCTGAGAGGTAATTGTAATGAGAGGTAGCACATTATGTATCACGTATCTCATTGCCTCCAGGACAAAATTTATTAATGTCAAATCAAATTTATATATTAATTAATTGAAATGAATAAACGATATGCAGAAAATAAATTAATTAAAAATTGAAATGACCTAATATTATCTATATATTCATTGGTTACTACAAAACTACAATGTGTCTTTAATATAACAACGATTAAAAAATAATAACAATAACAGTAAAATTATCATTTATTTTCTATATAACTCTTTTATATTTTTAACAAAACAGAGTCGCAATATATTATTTAAAAAACAAGCAGTAAAATAAAAAATTAATTAACAATTAAACTAAAAGAACACTTACGTATGAATAAGAAAATGATTGCACAAGTTTGCTGAGGATCCGATTATAACACCAACAGAACAGAAACTAAATCGCGTCGTTAAAAAGAAGACGACGAAACCGATATTCAGTTATTTGATTGGTTGCCATGCAACATGTAACAATATGTTTGATAGTATAGCGATTTAATGAAACAGTAAATGTGTTACGTCCGAGGAAAATTTACGGAGAGTATGTACACGATATGGATACACATTAACACGCTGTGAACGAACCATTTTATTGCTAATTATACTCAAGAGCATAATAAGCAATATACAACTTGAAATACTGTTTGCAATTATATTGGTTTTCATGCGCGTTATAAATTTCAAACTTCTAAATCTGCAAATGGCAAGTTCTAAACTTTTAACTGAACTAATCTGGGTGGTTATTTGACAATTTATGGATGTTTAATGTTGTGGATGTAGGGAGTTTTGGTATTTTTGTAGTTTTTGGGGGAAATTTGGATATTTAGAAAATTAAGGATGGATTCAAAGTTTAGATATTCAGTTTTCTAGTTTCAAATTCTCCAAATTCTCAATTTTCCACTTTCAAATTTCATGAATTCACAATCCTCCATTTTTAAATCCCCGAATTCCTAAATTTCTAACTTCCTAAATTCTCAACTCTCTAAATTCCCAACTCTCTAAATTCCCAACTTCCTAAATTCCCTACTCTCTAAATTCCTATCTTCCTAATTTCCCAACTTCCTAATGCCCCACCTTCTAAATTCCTAACTTCCTAAATTCCCAACTCCCTAAATTCCCAACTCCCTAATTTCCCAACACCTAAATTCCCAACTTCCTAATTTCTGAACCTTCTAATTTCCCAACTTCTTAATTCTCAACTCCCTAAATTCCCAAATTCTTAAATTCCCTACTCCCTAAATTCCTATCTCCTAAATCCCCAACTTCTAATTTCCCAACTTCCTAATCTCCCAATCTTCTAATTTCCCAACACCTAAATTCCCAACTTCCTAATCTCCCAACCTTCTAATTTCCCAACTCCCTAATTTCCTGACACCTAAATTCCCAACTTCCTAATCTCCCAACCTTCTAATTTCCCAACTCCTAAATTTCCAACTCCCTAAATTCCCACCTTCTAAATTCCCAACTCCCTAAATTCCTATCTCCTAAATCCCCAACTCCTATATTCCTACCTTCTAAATTCCCAACTCCTAAATTCCTAAATTTCCAACTCCCAA